TTACAGATCCAAGAAGACATTTTTTGTCTTTGTTTGCTTTGGGTAGGTTGTTTATTTTTTCAGTCAATTCAGCTATTTATTTGTTACTCCTTACATGATGCATAACCAGAAACTAGAAATCCATGGACTATTTTAAAATTAGGATTGACTCAAATTTCCCACACTAAGAGAAGAAAGGAAAGTAAACATGAAAATATCCAAAGATGAATAAAATTATTTCATAATATTTTACACATTTCACAAAATAGATTGATAGTATACTAGAAATATATGTATTTTTTACCCCCCAAAGCCTTCAAAAAACTCCATACTTGATTGTAAATCTTGGAAAGCTTTTCTTTGATATTGGGATAAACACTAGCCATTATCTCTATTCTTTTATGTTGGGATAACACTAGCCATTATCTCTATTTCTCTTTACTATTGTATTTAGGCTTGCATTTAGTAATTGCATTCTCTTTAGTATTTGTGATATTGTCACTTATAGTAAGAAATGCATTTTTGGCTTTATCCTAGTTCCTGTGGCAGAACTTCTAAAATCCTTGAAATTTCCCAAGCAATAACAGTGATAAAGATGATAGAACACCTTTTGCTTTCATAACCAGACCCTTTGAAGCACAGTTGAATTTATGTCAATGAAGTGATTTTTAAAAAGCTCCTAGATAATGATGGGATAGAGGCTGGTTGCCAAAAATGTGCCTGGAGATTTGGAAATTAGTCCTATACTGACCTCCCTGAAGAAAGGAAAGAAGGGAAGGTGAGTTAATTACTGATAGCCAATGATTTAATCAATCATGCCTAGGTAAAGAAACCTCCATAAAAGTCCCTGAAGTGTGGGATTTGGAGAACTTTAGGTTGATGAACAAGAACATAGTCATGTGTTGGGAGAGTGACACACCCCAAACTCCATGGTGATAGAAGCTACTGTGCTTGGGACATTTTCATACCTTGTTGGGTATCTCTTCAGCTGGCTGTTGAATTTTATCTTTTAAAATATCCTTGCAATAAGTCAGTAATAATAAATTCCTGACTTCTGTGAGCCAATCTAGCAAATTACCAAACCTAATGATAAGGTTGTAGTTACCCTCAATTTGTAGCCAAGTCAGACTGAAATTGGTGATCTGACAAGATATATCAGGTTATGATTGGCCTCTGAGATGAGGTGGGGTAGTCTTTGGGACTGAGCCCTTAACCTTTGTGATCTGAAGCTAACTCCAGTTAGTGTCAGAATTGGTCATCTATTCAGTGACTACAATTTGTCATCCCTGTGTCATGAATTCTCATCCTTCTACTTTGACATAAATTTCAAGTTTATATATTCCCCTGCACAAATCAAATTCAAACTTTGCTGCATCCTAGGTACCAAAAACTCAGCATCTACAGAATATATCTGGACTTCTTTCCCCAATGATTTTGTTCCCTGAATTTGTTATTCCTTTGTCCATTCATCCACTCATAACATAGTTATTGAGTTGATACTGCAAGTCAGAAAATGGGCTTAATATTTGAGATACAACATAAGGAACACAAACACAATCCCTGATAATATATTATGGTTTCAATAGCTGAAGAAAAATATAATACAAATAGTAGGAATTGTTATAAACATTATAAAAACAAAATGCAATGGCTCTATATAGAGGGTGGTCTACCACATCTGAGAAGCTAGTAATGTGTTCATATAAAAATGATTAAACTCAAATTATGGGAATGCACAGATTTTGAATTGGGGAAGATGGCAGGATGTAGTAAGAATATTCCAGGGGCACCTGGGTGGCTCAGTCAGTATTGAATACTCAGTCAGAGTATTCAGAGGAATACTCTGAATACTCTGATGCTCAGTTAAGCATCCAACTCTTGATTTTGGCTTAGGTCATGATCTCAGGGTCTTGAGGTCAAGCCCCATGTCAGTCTCTACACTCAGCATGGAGACTGCTTGAGATTCTCTCTCTCCATCTCCCTCTGCCCATTCCCCCCTCACGCTAAATAAATAAATATATATATTTTAAGAGAATAGTCCAGGAAGTGAGAATATTAGTTGTGCTAACAATAATTTAAAAATAGCCTGGGCTATATGAAGATATTTTAAAAGGTTCAATATAGTTGTAATATGAACAGTAAGGGAAAGGAGAGGAAATGTGGCAGGAAATGGGAAAACCTTGGCGATCAGGAAAAAATATTAACAAGGATTAACAAGATTTGGTAGTTCATTCTAAAGGCAAAGAGGAAAAAAATGGGTTATGTGAGAACATTAGGTATCAAATGCCCAATGCAAAGAAAAAGATGTATCCTGGGTTTCCATCTGCATATGAACATTCCTGCCTGAATGATGATGTCTGCTAATTGGATTATTGATATATAAAGTTTATGTTTTAAATTTGTAATCCAAACATTTTGTTTACTGGAATTTCCTCTTGAAAGCACTAGTCAGTTGTTTTTATGTCCAAATTATATTTTTATTTACTATATAAAAGTATGCAACTTTATTTCTCATGTATGTCTTTTTCACTCTTGACTAGCTTATATGCCTCTGATGGCATGGATCAGATGTGTTTTCTCAGTGAATCAAAATATGTATCAGTCAATAAGTGTTGGCAATATCTTTTTTGAAAAAAAAATATATATTAGATAAATTCATCTTTTATAATTTTCTTACATTTTTATATTTTTGTGTATTAACTATGTGAAGTAATTACCACAATTCAGTTTGATAATCAATAATCAGTTTGATATCAATAATAATCTATGTCATGTGGTTTTTGTAAAGTTAAAAAAACCACTTTTTAGAAGAATACCTACTACAAAATGGGTATTAAATAAATGTAGATGGTGATGATAGTGATGAGGATGAAGATGAAGATGAAAACACATCTCATGACATTATACTGCAATTAAAGGATTGATTCATGACAAAAGCATCTGCAATGATTTTGCTGATTTTTTTTTTTTAGGCTCAATTTATTTCTTATAGAAGTTGTGTTTACAAGTTCTTTTCTAATTTGGGGAACTTTTACTTTAATTATAATTGTCATAAATTATTCTCTGGAGTGTTGTTTCAGTAGAAGCCCTACCCCTAGAGAAGCAGCAATAACGACCTCACTGTTCCCTCCTGTTTCTAAGTTCCAATAATCTGCACATGTGATCATTGGCACTCCATAGTTTTGAATTATTCATTCCTACACAGAGTCCTTATAAGGTCTCCTATAGCCATGGTTGTATACTCCCATGTATTGTTTCTTAACATTCTGAGACTTTCAGGAGAACGTAATCCACAGAAATGATTCCAATCATGGACGGCACCCAAACCATGCTGTTATAAAGGAGGAATACTCTGAAACCATGCACTTGCACATTCATAAAAATTCTGAGGTACACTTCAGTAGGTAAGTAGAGAATTTACAATATTCTTCTCTTTCAATTGATGGTCTTTCCTTGTGTGTATATATATATTTTTTTTTCCCCCCCATCACTGATTTTCTTCTTTCTCCTCCGTTTTTCACTTACTGACAAGCTTAGGCAAAATTTTGGGTCAGAAAAAAAAATGAACAAAACCTAAATTAAAAGACACAAGATCTTATTTCCAACATTGACCCTTCCATGATATAAATTTTAGCTAATCTCTACCACATTCACTCCTCACATCTACTGAAGAGTAGCAATAGAAATTCTCACTTAATTAGCCTTTCAAACACCTATCAATAACAAATTTATGTTTCTTATAATCTGAGATTTGAAATCACTCCTTAATTCACACCTTAATTTAACAGAAAAACTCCTCTCCAAGAATGGTCCTGTTTTCTCTGTATTTTTTATTTTTGATATGTAGTATGAACTGTACAAAATTAGGCTTTGCTGCTTCTCTTAATCGAATTCAAAAATTCAATTGTTCTATCCTTCTTTCCTAATGTTTGCTGTGTTTGAATTCCAAGACAAATATAATCAACAGTGATAAAGTCATATGTTTGATTCTTTTTCTTACTCTTAAAAGACCTGTAAAAAAAATAAAAAAAGACCTGTAAACATCTTACTCACTATGAAATGTGATTCTATATAGAGATTACATGAGACTGACTTTACTTTCTTTGGTGATCAATTTAACTGTAACAGATGTTGGAACCTGTAACTCAGGAGTCATGAACCTATTACTGATCATGTATAGTCTTGTTGTTGTTGTTCTTGTTTTTAATACTTTTTCTTCTCAATGACAATAAGATAACTTTTAAAAGCTATTTTTTACATATATATTAATATAGAATTAGACTTGATTGCAACTCTGCCATCACTCTGAGTGAATGCCTTTACATCTGAATGAATTAAGGTCACTGTGGTGTGTCTATCCCAAAGGGCACTACTCATCTGATCACATGACTGGTGAACAGCTAACTTTAGTCTTGGAGTCCCTACATAGAGGGGAGCCTCACTGGTCTTTCAAAAGAACAGTTGTCACAATCTTACTGTAGAACTGTCTTCACAGTTCATCTCAGGACTTGTTTATACAGAAAAAACGTAATTTGTTTAATTTTTTCCATTATCTTCCCACCACAAGAGAAAGATGATTAATTGCTATAGGTAGGGTATTTCCAAAGTTGAGTTGCAAAGACCGACCATGAACTTATCTTTTTTATTATGTCAGGTGGAAGTGGCAACATTATGGATCACAGAAACAAGACCAGAGTCACTGAGTTTATTCTTCTAGGGTTTCAGAATGAGAAAGAAGTAGAAATTCTTCTTTTTTCTGCATTCCTGCTCATGTACATGACATCTCTGATTGGAACACCATGATCATACTTTTGGTATGTGGTGACTACCGTCTGCATTCACCCATGTATTTCTTTGTAGCCAATCTTTCTTTCCTTGAAGTTGCCATCACCTCCACAGTGGTGCCTAAGATGCTAGTGAACACATTTTCCCTCACCAAGGCAATATCCTTTGTGGGATGTCTTATTCAGTCTTTTTTCTACTTCCTTCTGGGATCCACAGAATTTTTCATTCTGGCCATCATGTCATTTGATCGATATATTGCCATCTGCAACCCACTGAGGTATGCCATCATCATGAATAAACAGACATGCATATTGTTGCTTCTGGGATCTTATGTGGGTGCATTTTTGTCAATTTTAGCATCATCAATCTTAACTGCTCCTCTGCCCTTTTGTGGGCCAAATATTATCAATCACTTTTTTTGTGACAGTTGCCCTGTGCTAAAGCTGGTCTGTGCAGACATCTCTCTGGCTGAACTGGCTGATTTTATCTCCTCTGCTATGTTGCTCTTGGGCTCCTTGCTTCTAACAGGAGTGTCTTACATGTACATTATCATTACTATCCTTAGAATACCCACTGTCCAGGGACGGCAAAAAGCTTTCTCCACCTGTGTTTCACACATCACTGTAGTGACACTTTATTATGGAAGCTCCATCTTTATCTATGTCCGCCCAAAAAAGGGCAATGTGATGGATGTTAACAAATTTGCCACAGTGCTGAACACCATTGTAACGCCAATGCTGAACCCTTTCATCTATAGTCTTCGAAATGAGAAAGTCAAAGAATCCCTGAGAGATGCCTTCAATAAATGTGTAGGCATGATAAAAAATTCAAGATCTTCAAGATCTGAAAAATAATATCTTAACAACAAAGATACCTTCATATCTGGTGATAAAATGATTTTGTCGTGTAACTAAAAGTTAATATACCGGCATAAGGAAGAAATTTAGGAGCATATATATTACTTCCTAATCCTTACCCAGGTTTATTTAAGAGTAATGCACATAGATCTAAAAATGTATACATGCATTTGTAATACGTACACACATACTGATTGGTAGACAGATATAAATGTGTAAGTAATTATCATTGTTCCCATTTTTTTTTCTGTGCCTCCAGTGTTTTAAAAATAAGATTCTTGGGACACCTGGGTGGCTCAGTTGGTTAAGCATCTGCCTTCAGTGCAGGTCATGATTCCAGGGTCCTGGGATCGAGTCCCACATCGGGCTCCTTGCTCAGTGAGGAGCATGTTTCTCCCTCTCCCTCTACTGCTCCCCCTGCTTGTGCTCTCTCTCTCTCTGACAAATAAATAAATTAAAATCTTAAAAAAAAAAAGAAATGGGCAGAAGACATGAACAGACATTTTTCCAAAGAAGACATCCAAATGGCCAACAGACACATGAAAATGTGCTCAACATCCCTCGGCATCAGGGAAATCCCAATCAAAATCTCAATGAGATACCACCTCACACCACTCAGAATGGCTAAAATTAACAAGTCAGGAAATGACAGATGTTGGCAGGGATGCAGAGAATGGGGAACCCTCCTACACTGTTAGTGCGAATGAAAACTGGTGCAACCACTCTTGAAAACAGTATGGAGATTCCTCAAACTGTTGAAAATAGAGCTACCATATGATCCAGCAATTGCACTACTGGGTACTTACCCCAAAGATACAAATGTAGGTATCCGAAGGGGTACATGCACCCCGATGTTTATAGCAGCAATGTCCACAAGAGCAAACTGTGGAAAGAGCCATGATATCCATTGACAGATGAATGGATAAAGAAGATGTGGTATATATGTATATGCAGCCATCAAAAGGAATGAGATCTTGCCGTTTGCAACAATGTCGACCAAACTGGAGGGTGTTATGCTGAGTGAAATAAGTCAATCAGAGAATGACATGTATCATATGACCTTACTGATATAATGAATTCTTAATCTCAGGAAACAAACTGAGGGTTGCTGGAGTAGGGGTGGTTTGGGAGGAATGGGGTGGCTCGGTGGTAGGCATTGGGGAGGGTATGTGCTATGGTGATCGCTGTGAATTTTGCAAGATTGTTGAATCACAGATCTGTACTTCTGAAACAAATAATGCAATATATGTTAAGGAAAAAAAAAAGAAGATAGCAGGAGGGGAAGAATGAAGGGGGGAAATCAGAGTGGAGACGAACCATGAGAAACTATGGGCTCTGAAAAACAAACTGAGGGCTCTAGAGGGGAGGGGGTGGGGGATGGGTTAGGCTGGTGATGGGTATTAAAGAGGGCACGTTCTGCGTGGAGCACTGGGTGTTATGCACGAACAATGAATCATGGAACTCTACATCAAAAACTAATGATGTGGGCGCCTGGGTGGCTCAGTTGGTTAAGTGACTGCCTTCGGCTCAGGTCATGATCCTGGAGTCCCGGGATCGAGTCCCGCATCAGGCTCCCTGCTCAGCGGGGAGTCTGCTTCTCCCTCTCACCCTCTTCCCTCTCATGCTCTCTATCTCTCATTCTCTCTCTCTCTCAAATAAATAAATAAAATCTTTATAAAAAAACTAATGATGTAATGTATGGTGATTAACATAACAATAAAAAAGTCAGAACAGCTATTTGAGGAATGTGTCTTGAAGTAAACCTAAACATTGAATGTTTGGGTTGGGGTTCAGGAAAGTAATGAGGCAAAGTAGATACTATAGAAATGAAGCAATGTTTGAAATCCCAAAGAAAAATGTGTGAGAGTATGGAAGTTTATTTCTCATTAAATTGAATCAATCCTGACTTTCTTACAACAAAATGCCAAATTAAGATCTAATCATACAATGTTCTTCTAACTTTCTTAGCATCTCAGTTTCAAACAAATGTAAAATATTAAATGTGGGTGCATTTGTTCTTCCTGGACAAACTTTTAAACAGGGAATACCTTTAGGAAGTCCTCCATCTTCTTTCCAACACAGAAAACTTCCTCTATCACCCCATCAACCTGTCTTACAAGAAATGTCCCCTGCCCAATAAAAAATGATTTAGATGAAGGAAAAGCAGAAGAAATTCCCATCTTTGTGCCCCTTTTTTCCCTTTTGGAAACTGAGCTCTTGGGCTCAGGAACTAGGGTTCCATAAAAAATGCTCAGTCCCACCCCTTGTGCTGACAACGTTATACAGGACAATTGCACAGATCCAAACCTTCCACAGGAATAGTTTCAGAGGCTGACATAGTTTTGAAAGCACCTCCACAGCCTACATGCCCACAGGGAGCATGGCTGGGTAGGGAAGAGCCATGTTTTCACTCTCTCTGTGCTCCTGAAACTTTATAATGAGTCTGTTCCTCTGAGATTCCAATATGCAGAGAAAACTTTGCTTTCCCAGAGGACTTTTAAGACTAAAAGAATGATGTATTTCAAATAAAAATAATTGTTTTCTGTGCAAACTTGGCTAAAACTTTTTAGGTAAAATACTGTTATCTAAATAAGGTGTCCTCTGATATCAGGGACATATGTGTGCTACTTTTTTCTGTTCAAACAGAATGTTATTTTGTTTTTGTTTCTTTTCTGTGGATGACCCTGGTTTAAGTGCAAATATGATTTCCCCACAGTGTATCTGTCTAATAAAAATATGAAAGATTTATGCACCAAAGAGAATCTGATTACTTGACTAGAAGCCTATGTGAAGGAAGGATAGAATACTGATGAAGAGGATGTTCACTGCAAAAACAACCCTGGGTAGGGGCAAGATCCACTGGACACTCAAAATAAGTCTCTGTGTGTGTGAGGATGGGGCTCTCAAAATTTATGAGTCTATTTTATTATTTGTGTGTTTTTTTCTTTTTCCAGGGAAAGGACATTTTTTTTTCATTTCTCTTATGTGCCCTTGTGTATTTCTGGTAGGCCTGCTTGTGTGTATATTGGATCATACACTATTTTATTTCCATATTTTTTTCAACTTTTATTTCCAATTATTTCTAAATGTACATTGTATTCTTGTTTTGGCAGGAATTATTTTCGTGATCTAAAAATAATATTTTCTTTCAACACTGTTAGATTTGTAAATGTAATTTTTTTAATGATTTTATTTATTTATTTGAGAGAGAGAGAATGAGAGATAGAGAGCACAAGAGGAAAGAGTGTCAGAGGGAGAAGCAGACTCCCTGCTGAACAGGGAGCCTGATGTGGGACTCGATCCTGGGACTCCAGGATCATGACCTGAGCCGAAGGCAGTCACTTAACCAACTGAGCCACCCAGGTGCCCTGTAAATGTAATTTCTTCTCCCACAAATGCCTTTCCGCCCCTTTCTCCTTTAGGTAAAATAAAATAGACGTTTTAAAGCCTAATATGGGAGTCCATTATTTTTGTGTTCTCTCTGGCTGCAAATATAATTACCTTTCCTGACTTCAAGGGTCCTCTGCAGATGATAAATATATACACACTCTGCACTTAGTCTACAGTGCAGGTATAACTATGCCTTTCTCTTATGCCTTGTGAAATTATTCAGAATAAATACTTTGTTCACCTTGGATATTTTAACATTTAGAACAGTGGCATATAGTAAGTAGTTGAAAGTATATTGTGAGTGCTTGAATGAATGAACGATAAATGAATATGGGAAATTTACAGTATTGGCTGTTTTTTCATGGACAGTAGCAAAATCTGTAAGAACAATTACTTTCTCTTGAAAAGGATTGTAAATGAAATTGTACACTGTGGATTAGGGACAATGAAGGCCTTACCTAAAAGAATATAGAATTTGGAGACTAGCAAGTTATTGAAAGGTAAGTGTTTTGTTGACTGTTTCCTTTGCTGTGCAGAAGCTTTTTATCTTGATGAAGTCCCAAAAGTTCATTTTTGCTTTTGTTTCACTAGCTTTTGGAGATGTATCTTGAAAGAAGTTGCCAATGCTGAAGAGGTTACTGCCTATGTTCTCTAAGATTTTGATGGATTCCTGTTTCACATCGAGGTCTTTCATCCATTTTGAGTTTATCTTTGTGTATGGTATTAGAGAATGGTTGAGTTTCATTCTTCTGCATGTAGCTGTCCAACTTTCCCAGCACCATTTATTGAAGAGACTGTATTTTTTCCATTGCATATTTTTTCCCTGCTTTGTCAAAGATTATTTGACCTTAGAGTTGAGTGTCCATATATGGGCTCTCTATTCTGTTCCATTGGTCTATATGTCTGTTTTTGTGCCAGTACCATGCTGTCTTGGTGATCACAGCTTTGTGATATAGCTTGAAATCGGGCAACGTGATGCCCCCAGCTTTGTTTTCCTTTCTCAACATTTCCTTGGCAATTCAGGGTCTTTTCTGATTCCATACAAATTTTAGGATTGTTTGTCTCAGCACTTTGAAAAATGGCATTGGAATTTTGATTGGAATGGCACTGAAGGTATAGATTGCTCTGGGTAGTAGAGACATTTTAACAATGTTTATTCTTCTGATCCATGAGCATGGAATATTTTTCCATCTTTTTGTGTCTTCTTCAATTTTTCATGAGTATTCTGTAGTTCTTACAGTATAGATCCTTTATCTCTTTGGTTAGGTTTATTCCAAGGAAACAGTCAACAAAACAAAGAGGCAACCCACAGAATGGGAAAGATATTTGCAAATGACACTGCAGATAAAGGGATGGAATTCCAAGATCTATAAAGAACTTCTCAAACTCAGCACTGAAAAAACAAATAATCAAGTCAAAAAAATGGGAGGAAGACATGAAAAGACACTTCTCTGAAGGAGACATACAAATGGCTAACAGACACATGAAAAAATGTTCATCATCATTAGCCATCAGGGAAATTCAAATTAAAACTACATTGAGATACCACCTTACCCCAGTTAGAATGGCAAAATGGACAGGGCAAGAAACAACAAGTGTTGGAGAGG